GGTCATTTATGCTCACTCCTCCCAACACCCATACACCATTGCACTATCAATTCTTCAAGAAAGGGACTGTATTTATTAATTTCATATCCCCTCTAATGTTAGCCTAGGACAGTGCAAAATAAGCAGCCGGTAAAAGACCTGCTAATTTGAATGAAAGAGTAATCATCTGTAAAGGTGGGTCTTCTCAGCATGCCCCAATACCCTGTTAATTTCCAGGTAAGACAGGAATGCAGGAAGTAAACAAACCCCAATGTGTCACAGTGTCCCAAATGACCAGGCACTCTGGGCGTGGGGGCTCAGGATCTGTTTATTTTCAAAGCTATCAAAGAAAAGCTAGAACATAGAAGGGAAGTATTGCTGAAAGGTAGAACAAAGAAAGAAAGTGCGTTACAGATTACCATGCTGTGTCAACCTTGGCCAGCAAACTTATTAAGCAAAATTTTATGCTTTGTTTACTTTGGTAGGGCATGCCTTGCATGTCCTGGAAGTTTCTCTCTTTACATGCACTCTCATATTTCAAAATAACTATCCAACCCCAGACTAAGAATTCCTTCCCACGAGGTGTCACTGACTTCAATTTTAAATAAAGGAATATAGTAAATGAGTCACTTTCCATACGTTAAGAAAGATTGTGTATTTCCAGATAACTTTGTTTTCCATGAAGATATCTTCTTTTCTCTCTTCCAAATAAAATTACATTAAATTAAATTAAAAATAAAGTTATATGAGAGATACTAAAGTAGATATTGGTTTGGATCAACAGACATTGTTGAAAATTTCTCCTTTGTGTTATAACTATTTTCCAGAACAAGTCACATGGGCAAAAAAAAAATAGTTACACGGGCCCAGCCTGTGCACCCAACTGAGGGTTTTATTTGCATCTAGATAGACAGTCTGTTATGTACAGTGTGTGTTTGCCCCAGAGCCAATTCAGGAAGAAATTTCCCATGGGTTTCAGGGGAAATGCTCTGCTTGATTTGGCCACATATGGAGCTCAGAAATGGATATGGGGCCAGGAAAAGAAAAAAGGGAGAGCCTCCTGCTGATCCTCACAGGATAGCCTTGCATGTCCTGGAAGTTTCTCTCTTTACATGCACTCACATAACTCAGCCATCCTCTAAGTCAGCCAAAGGGGTTAATTTGTGAGCAGGCTAAATCAGGTTTCTGAAGTCACCCACATCGGGTTCCCTTCACTCATGCTTCTTCCTCTGGAGTGCCCTTAAAAGGAGTGGGTCAGTCCCAAAATTCTTTCCCAAGCCCACTGCTTTTCTCTTTTTAAAATTTGTCCTTTCTCATGTTCTGCTTCAACCGTGGCTTAAGTTGTGCCCCATAGTAGCTGACTTCCAGATCCTCTACTTGAGCCAGGGCCTTTCTCTTTTCCTGTATCCCTAACTGCCCAGCAAACAGTCCCACTTTTGCAAACAGTTCACCACCTCCAACTTTAGCATGTCCCATACATACTCATTGCCTTTCCCCCATAAGCAGCCCTCCTAATTCCTTCTTTCTTCTTATCAACAATGCTACAATGTTCCTTGCAGATACTTTTCATTTTCCTCTTCCTTGACCTCATACCTAACCAGTCACAAAATTTCATCAAATCTTCCTTCATGAGGACCTCAGTCCCTTTTGCTAGAGTCTGGACAAATCGAGGAAGGAAGGAAGCCAATCATGTGTCCCTGTGATGTGAAAGGAACCAGGAGGTGGATCTCGTCTGGGTCAGGAGGTCACCTGGAATGCCGGACACAGATGCAATCCAAAGCTCAAGCACAGAACAGAGACAAGGAGGGCACAAATCTTGGCACTAGAATAGTAAGGTCAGCTACCCATCAGACCTACAGGACTCGTGTGAGGACATAGTGAAAGGGAGGTCAAGAAGTCAGGAGCAGGGATTGGGTCTGTCTTGGTCATCTTTGAATCCCCAGAACCTAGTTCATTGCTGACTCATGTAAGCACCCAATAAATGTCCTATATTTCCAAATACAGGGCATTTTTTATAACTTTTCATTCGCCTTTCATTCAAGACTTCATATTAAGCAACGCTTTCTCACTTTCATTTTTCTTAAGCCACCAGGTAGTGTTTGGGGAAGACACGTTAGAAGGAGCAACATCCATAGTTTGGGGTGTCTAGAGAAGTTACCTGATATAATGGACAAATAAGAAAGCAAGGAATTTTAATAACATTTTGGGAGATTTTGACTTAACAACTCAAGTGTTAGATGTCATTATAAAAAGGCTTTTTAAAAATTGTTTTAAAAATAAGTAGAGATCAAAATATTCATCTACCAGATAATTTGTTTTGATTGCATATATTTTCCATTGTCATACATTTTGTGGCTTGGGATAAAACTTGCAGTGACTAAGTCACATAGAGATTCCAAAAATACCACACCTCAAACAATGCAGAGGAAATAAGGTAATATGCTCTAGGAAACTGTGTTGGAATCAAACAGTACTTGTAGTGATGATAAAGACTATGAGAGTAGCAAAAACAGTGTTTCTAATTAACATTATTTTATATAATATCTCATTGTATATATACATGTGTAAGCTAAATTAATACATTAAATACTAGCAGACATTGGACAATTTCCTGTAAATCACTAAAAGTCAGATATTTCAAATGGTCAAAACACTTCTTATCAATCATCTCATTGGAAAATGGGGAATCTATGCATTGCATTACATTCGTTGAATAAAATAATGAATGAATGCATAAATATTTATTAAAGACTAAAACAATTAAATATTGGCATTAGGAATCATTTATTCACTAATCCATTGAGCCAACATTGATTGAGCTGCTATGTGCAAATCAGTTAAGCAGGAATCAGAATGGTTTGGTACTAAATGCCTACTTTCCACTGGGATGTTGACACCTAAGATAAAAGAAATACCTTTTTTAACTTTTTATTATGAAAAATTTCAAACATACAGAAAAATGAAAAAATAATATAACAAACATCCATAGAACTTCCATCTAGATTCAACAGTTATTAACATTTTCTCAAAATTGCTTCACGTATATATTGAATTTTGGATGGACCATTTGAAAGGAAATTATAGCTGTCATAGCACTTCACCCCCCTAACTTTAGTATGCATCTACAAAGATTAAAACATTCTCCCACATAACTGTCATGCTACTATCATGCCTAACAAAATTAACAATAATTCCTTAATAAGAGATATTTCCAGTCTACATTCAGATTTACACAGTTGCGTTTGGTTGTGTCTCTTAAGTCCCCTCCCCCACCTTTTTTCTTTTTTTTTTTTTCCAGCTTGATTGAGGTGTAATTGACAAATAAAAATTGTATATATTTGAGGTGTACAACGTGATTTGATATAGGCATACATTGTGAAATGCTAATTAACACATCCATCACCTCACTTAGGTACTTTGTGTGTGTGTGTGTGTGTGTGTGTGTGGTGAGAACACCCTAGATATAGTGTCTTAGCAAATTCCAAGTATACTATACAATATTATTAATTGTAGTAACCATGCTGCACATTAGATCTCAGAACTTCTTCATCTTATAACTGAAGATTTGTAACCTTCGACCAACATCTCCCCATTTCCCTCACCCCCCAACCCCCAGCAAGCACACTCTCTGCTTCTTTGAGTTCAGCTTTTTTAGATTCCACATAAGTGAGATCATGCAGTATTTGTCTTTCTGTGTCTGGCTTATTTCACTTAACATAATGTACTCCAGGTTCATCCATGTTGTCTCATATGGCAAGATTTCCTTCTTTTTTATGGCTGAATAATTCTGGTGTGTGTATGTGTGTGTTCATCCATCTATGAATATTCGATTATTTCCATATTTTGGCTATTGTGAATAATGATGCAAAAGAACATGGGAGTGCAGATATCTCTTCAAGAGATTGATTTCATTTCCTATGGGTATATACACAGAAGTGGGATTGCTGGATCATATAGTAGTTCTATTTTTTTAATTTTCTGAGGAAACTCCATACTGTTTTCCATAGTGGTTGTACCAATTTACATTCCCACCAGCAGTGTACAAGGGTTCCCTTTTCTCCACATCCTCACCAACACTTGTTATCTCTTGTCTTTTTGATAACAGCCATCCTAACAGATGTGAGGTCATATTTCATTGTGGTGTTGATTTGTATTTCCCTGATGATTAGTGATATTGAGCATCTTTTCATATACCTGTCACCCATTTGTGTGTCTTCTTTAGGAAAATGTCTATTCCCCTTTGCCCATTTTTTAATCAAATTATTTGGTTTTTTTCTATTGAGTTTTATGAGTTCCTTATATATTTTGAATATTAACTCCTTATCAGATATATGGTTTGCAAATATTTTCTCCCATTACGTAGATTGCTTTTTCATTTTGTTGATCATTTCCTTTGCTGCATAGGAGCTTTTTAGTTTGATGTAGCCCCACTTGTTTATTTTTGCTTTTAAAGACCAGCCCAGTTGTCATATCAAAATTCCCACAATGTGGATTATCTGATTGTTTCCTCATGACGTCATTTACCAAGTTCCTCTATCTCAATATTTCTTGTGAAACAGAAGATAGATATAAAAGCTTGACTGAATTCATGTTAAATGTTTCATCAGTGTGTTGAATATTACATCATGATAAGAGCACAGTGTGGCTAGTTGTTCCAACATCTGTGATGTAATTTGATCACCTGGTTCAGGTAGTAACTGCAGGTCTGTGATTAGAGAGTAACCTATGGGATGCTACCTCGGCATCTTGCAAAAACCTTATTCCTTATTAACTTTCCACTTAATGGATTTAGCATCTGTTGAGAATTTTTGCCTGAATCAATTATTTCATTAGAAGGTTGTAAAATAAAATGCATATTTCTTTTTACCCTCTTCGATTATCCATTTCCCATTTTCTCCAGCCATCTTTTACAATCTTAAATATGTTCTTTGAAATTGAAAAGGCTGAAGTCCAAAGTTTCAAGTATCATAGTTTATTGTAATGGGAGAGAACTAACCTTCAATTTTCTTTTGTGTTTTCAGCAAAATGGGAAGCCACATTTTTATGATAAGCCACTTGTTGAATTCTTTGAAGAAGCACCTCTTCATGTTATGGTTTTCACTTACATGGGATATGGAATTGGAACCCTATTTGGCTATCTCAGAGACTTTATGAGAAACTGGGGAATAGAAAAATGCAACGCAGCTGTAGAACGAGAAGAACAAAAAGTACGTATGTTCACCTCTCTGGATCTTTGTCAATGCCTCTTCTTCTCTAAAGGGTTCTCAGAGTGGTGAGGCACGTACAGATCCTAAAAAGAGTGAGGTGCTCAGGAACTACTCGGGGTAAATTCTATTCATCCCCACCCCCAAACCCCATCCCCTGTGTGTTCATGGACTTGTTTTTACAAATATTTATTTAACAACTACTGTTTGCCAGATACTGAACTAAGGGTTTCTCATACATTATTATATTTAATTTTCATAACAACCCCATGAGATAGATATTAAAATACCACTTTAAAGATAAAAAAATTGAAAAATAACCACAAGGGCCCATGCATGGGACTGTATTCTGGTCTTCTAGTTGAAAGATGAGTATTATTTATGTTCTATCCTGAAATAGAAAAGTATGTCTGAGTGCAATGTGAGATTTTTATTTCATCTAGGTCAGAATTTCTCAACTTTGGTACTATTGACATTTTGGGCTAGATAATTCTTCGGTGGGGAGGCCACCCTGTGCACTGTAGGATTTTTAACAGCATCCTTGGCCTCTACCCACTAGATGCCGTTAGGCTCTCCCACACACTTCTGATGATCAAAAATGCCTCCAGATGTTGCCAAATGTCTCCTGAAGTGCAAAATCACTTCTGATTTAGAACCACTGATCTAGATATTTTCAATAGTTAACCTATAAAAGTCTATATCATGCTCTTTTCACATAGAGCTCTTTTCACATAGGTTTCCAGCACAACCTGGAAAATATTCAGAGATCTGCAAAGAGCCTGCATTTTGTTAACATGTTTTCCAAATTTGTTCAAATAATTTATGATGCCATGAATCTCTTTTTCCTAAAAATCTCTTTGGAGTACTATGATTGTGGGCATGGATCACCCCACGTGATGGAACCTTAAATACATCTAAGCAAAGAACATAGGTGAGGCATGAAATTCAATGTAATGGGAGAACATCAAATCCTGTAACTTAGCAACTAGTATCCGTGGTAAAATAAACACATTACAGTAACATACCCACGAACAAATTGTGTGGAACACTTCCTTTGGAATTGGCTTAAATCAAGCATATCACCTTCAGAAGAAAATCAGTTTTATTATTATAATCCCTCCTACCTTTAGCAAATATTTGAGCACATGCTCTCTACCAGGTAATGGGTGCTAATATACATAGAAGAAAACATAGATCCTACCACCAAAGAATTTGAAGTCTGGAGTGCAAAAACAGACTCATGAGCAAAATATATGACAAAAAGCGATGTTGGGAATGAGGGTAATGTGGGAAACAGGGATCTGTGCCCTGTGATTCACTTAGGAAGTCAGGAAGGCATGATGCTGGGGGCTTGAATGGTGAGCAGGAGTTTGCCTAGTGAGCAAGGGTACAAAGGAGGACATTCTCAGAAGAAGGCACTGCTTGTGCCAAGGCATTCATTAACTCCTTAATCAAATCAGACTCTTTTTGAGCAGGTATTTTGTGCCAGGCCCTGTGCTACAATCTGGGGACACAAGAATAACCAAGGCAGATATGTTTCTTGCCTTCAGGGAGCTAACCATTAAAAAAGCAATTTCAATGGCATTTGATAAGAGGTACCATAGAGGTAAATAGAGGAAGTCAAGGGAGCAAAGGAGAGAAACATCTAGCCTAGACTTGGTGTTCAGTGAAGGCTTCTGGGAGGAAGAGAAAGTTAAATTGAGATATGAGGGCTGAAAAGTAAGTAGTAAGGCAAAGGGTGAGGTGAGATGGGACAGAAGGAGTCTTTAGGGAGAGGAAACATGGTGCAAAATGGCCCAGAATTAAGAGAATGCATTGTACATTCAAGGAACCAAGGAATTCCAATGACCAGAGTGTTGTGAGTGAGAGTGGGAGTATGTGGGGAGAAAGATTGCTTAAGAGGCAAGCAGGGACAAGACTACAATGAGTTTTTATAAGCCACAGATGTTTATTATAAGAACAATGGGAAGGCATTGAAAGATTTCAGGCAGAGGAATGCAGATTTGCAGATTAGAAAGGTCATGTTCACTGCCAAGTGAAAAAGAGATTGCAGGAGGACAACGCAGAGACCAAAAAATCAATTAAGAGGATGTTGCAGAAATGCAGGTTAAAAAATCTGTGTGAGACCTTGGGCTGGGACCAAGGTAGTGATAATAGGGGTGGTACAAAGAGATAAGACCAAGAGATGTTTAAGAAGATGGAGTTAGGGATGATTGGTTTGACTTGGGGAGTTAAGGAGATGGTCAGATCAAAGACCACATCCAGGTTTATGACTTGGGCAGCTGGGTAAAAGAAGGTGGTGTCATTGTTCGAAATGCGGAATAGAGGAGGAAGATCCAGTTGGAGGGGGAAGGTGGTCAATTCATTTTTTGACAAATTGAGTTTGAAGAATTGGCAGTTGGATATGGAGGTCTAGACCTCCAGAGGAAAGTCTTCTCAGCTGGATATTGTGGCATCTTAAGTATATCTTGAACATATCAACATTAATCAAAGCCACAGAAGTAGATGAGACCTCCCAAGGAAGGTCTATAGAGAAAAAAGAGAAAGGGTGAGAAGAGAACAAAGAACTTTAGAGAATTTAATGGATGTTACAGACTAGAAGACAAATAAAAAAGCCTTATAATAGCTCAGAAGAGATAATTTGTGCTTGAACTAGGGAAGAGGTAGATGGAACAAAGAAAAGGGAACTAATTATAGAGACATTTAGAAGGTAGAATCAGCAAGTCTTGGTGGTTGAGTGTATAGAAAACAAGATAGAGGGAAGAAAACAGGGTAATCTCAAATTTCTACTTTGGTCAGACACAAGGATGGTAGTGGTACAGCCATCACAATGGAATGGTTCTGTATTGGCAAAGATGGCCACAGATATAGTTTTGAGGATATAAAGGTTCTTGAATGGAGAAGGGTATAAAAACAGTTACATCAAGCAGGAAACAACCCAGCAAGTTCCCAGAGAAAGATACAGGTTTCCCAGGTCCTAGCAGTGCTGATGTTGAAACTGAGAAATTGGGATTAGAAAGCAAGTTCCTCTTGGCCATTCTCACAAGGATCTCCGCAGCCCCTTCTTGATACCAGCTGGTATATTCTAGAAGCTCTTATCGCCACTCTTCTCCCCAGGTATAAGTAACTGGTGCACAATAAATCAGCACATTCCAGAATATTTACTGGGACAAAGCGTTAAGTCAAATAAAATTTCTCAGGTGTGGCATTCCTTGGCAGGCCTAGGCTTCAATCTGCCACCTGTTTTCTAACCTGTTTCAATATTTTTGCTCTATCAACGCAGAAGGGCTAGTGGTTTTGGGTTTTCTAAAGCATTTCTTACATTTCAAGTGGAACATATGTATATATATGCAAGTTGGTTCTCAGGGAAGCAGACTCTGAGATGGAGGGTTGAAGGTTATTGCAGTTTGCTCCTGGGATCAACACCTGTACACGCGTGAGGGAGTGAAGGGGGCAAGATGAGGCAGGTGCGTTGTGATGCAGTCCCAGCAAAGGGAAATCAGTGGATCCCACAGGGAGCTGTGGAGTTGGGAGGGCCCCTCAGAAGCATTCCTCATTGAGGGAAGAGGGTTGAGCCTTCAATGTTGATTGATGGGGGTTGCCACCAGAGAGGGATGTGATCTTCAGCCAGGCAGCTCCCTTCAGCAAACTGGCAGTCTCCAACACTCCCAGCATCAAGGAAAGGGGTGCTTTAGTCCTGAAGAATGGGGTAGGCACAGCGCACAGGAGCCTGTACGGCAACACCTGTCACTATTGCTGCAAGAACTGCTTGAACCACCTCCCAAGAGGAGGACATTGCATTAAATAAACCGGTGTCTTGTATTTCTTTACAAAATAAATGATTCCCCACTTGTTTGATCTCTGTGAGGTAGAGAGCATCAGTCAGTTGACTCACTTGGTAGATATGCCTTTTATATGGCATACTTTTTATTATGTGTTCCTTCCTTTGAGCCCCTTTAGAGATTTAGAACCTTTCAGAGTAACAGGTTCTAATAAACTGCAATGGCTACAATCCTTATATTTTTTTATGGGATTTGGTCACCGGAAACACTGTCTTCAGGCTGATATTTATCTTATAATACTGCCTCCAGCCCCATATTTCTGACAGTATCCTTGCTTTGTGTTAATAACCTATCTGAGGCACATCTTGAAGTCTCTTGCAGGAAACAATGAATGTGCTGATTTCCAATGACCCCTGGTTCTTTTAAGCAGAAATGAACATTATTCTATTCCAAAAGCTGGTCACAGAATAGATTGTCCCATAAGACAAACCAGCCACGAGCAAAATGACACCAGGAAGGAGAGCACATCCATGAAGGCATGGTGGAGAAGCACAATTATGTTTTTTAAAAGGAACATAAATGGATGTTCTTATTTCCAATCATACTCTCTTACTCTGTTCATTCTTTTTATTTTTATTTTTGTAATAAAAATTGTATGTATTTTAAGTGGACAACACAGTATTTTGATATACATATACATAGTGAAAAGATTGCTGCATTTAGGCTAATCGACATGTTCTCTTCACTTCTTTCTTTTTCTTAATCAAATGTAAGAATTTATTAATCCAATTTCCCTATTTTCTCTCCTTGGATGACTTCTCTCATACCAAACCATCCATTCAAACTAAAGTGTTGCCCCAAATTTAGAATCTCTTTTTGCTTTTTCGTCTTTTTGATTTCTAGCCCAAAAACCCTGAAATTGACTCCAAAACACAAAGGCTCTGATAATCCTCTTTATATGAATCACTTGATTACTGATTTACTTAGTGTTACTGATTTACTTAGTATAAACTTAGGGAAAGGATAGAAAAATCAAAATCTCCCTCCAAGAGAGCACTAAAAACCCCAAGGCCCAGGGTACCTGGTACCTCAGACAGACTCCACTAACAATCAGAAGACACTGGCAAGGAAAAGGACTATACAGATAGATACAAAGTTTAAATATTTTTGCTTAAATTCTCCTTTTAACTCAATTTTTGGGACACATTTTTTTTTAATCAA